CCCATGTGCCACCAATCCTGTTCACTTGTAAATTCAATGATTTAACAATTGTCTTTCCCCGACTAGTTTCTGGACGATTTCATCGAGTCACTGACAACGGAACAACTCATTAAGGAGCAGAAGGCTTTGGGAGTGCAGATTTTTGTTCTCAAAAACGTGTATCCACTCCAAGGAATTTTGTGTTTTTGAAAGTTGGGATCTGAGGAATTTGGTCCAAAATGTTTTGGGGTTTCTCTCAGTTGCGACCAGTTGTATCAGTTTCATTTACAGGCGTCTCGGACAGATACAAACTATGTGCAAATGACATGTATTCTGTCTTTTTTAAAAAACTGATTTTTTGTAGAGAAAAAAGGGAATTTTTGGAAGTTACTTAAGAGGCAGTTTAAATTTTTAGGTTCTGACCATTTAGCCTCATTTGTACCTCCCCAGTGAAGTACGTCTTAGAAGTAGCGGCCCCATCCCCTGTGATTGTAATAATATCCCCCGCCATTTTCTTTTCCATTTCCATTAACAGTTTTTCTTTCCATTAACCGGCAAAACTCATCTGTCCTATATTCTTCAACAGTTTCTAGTTCTTTATGAGTTTAACGACGATAGAACAACTGTCAATACATTGGAAAAGAATTTCCTTGCACTGTGGCATTACGTGAGTACACTTTTCTTTTTCCATGTAACCCATATTAGTGCCTGATTACATGACGCATCAAGGTACGCCTATCTCCTTATATCGCTTCGTAGGTCAACAGGCTTGCACGGAGGGAAAAGAATGTGATCAATTAATATGGAACAGTGTTCAATAGCATGTTTAATCAAGGAGCGCAGTATCTATTTTTCGAAACGGCTGTATAGGCAGATTATTGATTACATTTTTCTTTATTAACATACGACTTTTGCGAATTGAATATTAACATAATGATTTGTACAAGTCATAAGTTCGCCGATGGCTTGTAACGAAGATAATTGTTTAAAAGTCTAGTCATAATCTCTCACTTTTCTGCCCGAAATCCTTAGTCATCCTTGATATCTGCAAAAATTCATCCGGTATTTAACTGATGTTTCATTCACTTCTTGTTCCTACATGCAGCAACTCTTAACTAAGTTATTATCTAGTGAAGTCCATTTAACGCCATCGTAGTATCAGTGAAACTGTTTTTCTGGTTACAATTGATTTTATTTGCTGAAATTCAACTCTTCTTTATTCGGCTAAAATTGACATTCTGACATGAATTTTGTTTTCGAGTGATAAAAACAATATTCTACGATTAGTGTTATGTGTATTTACTCGAGCTTTCGTAGAAAAGCCCGAGTCGGAAAATGCAGGCCGTTCTTTTTTCTTGGTAGCCGAGTGGGGCTCATATCTCCAAGCGTCGTAAAGGAGAGCGTGAAAACTGGCTGATGACAACTGCGACAGCTTGCTAATCGCGTGCCGCGAGCAACATAATTTACAGAATGCTGTGTTTTGTGAGACTGATTATGTCTTATACGCTCATCTCACATACAAAGATATCGAACGTTTTCAGAACAAGTCGGTTCACGAATCCTGTAGCTTGAAAGCTAGCCACATTAACAAAGCTCTTACTAGTTCTCCGAAACACTTCAGATGTTGAAAAATGAATCTAGAGTCTTTGTGAACAGACCTTCCAAGGCGAGGGAAGAAACAACATGCAATTGGATGAAGAGGATACTCCACGAAGCAACTTGAATAGTAAATATTTAAGCTTAACTCTTGTGTTATAATATCCTGATTCTTTTCTTTGTTTTTATTGGTTCAATATACTTGCAGAGTACT